TACATTAAAATATTAAAAAAATAAAAAAATAATTAAAAATCAAGAAATTAAAAACAATAAAACAACATCATTGGCAACACCAATCCTAAATACTCAATATACCTTGTTCAATGCAAAGCTAAAAAAAAAAAACTATATGTAGTGAAGCAACTTGTAATTTCTAACTATAATTTATTTGGTACGGTTCGTGTTGTATTTTCATAATTATAGCGTGCGTCTTCCCTTCTGTTTTTCTATTTCAAGGAAGAAGACTGAAAATGACACGGGAACAAAGGGCACACGACCCAACAACTAAACTCGTTTAATAATAATTGGTTCTTTTCCCTTTTGTGATCGAATTTAGGCCCTCCAGCTAGAAAGTAATTTTTTTTAAATAGTTTATTTAAAAAATAAATTTTTTTATGATATTTGATAATATATAAAAAATAAATTAAAAAATATTTTTTAGTATTTAATATATTATAAAAATAGATTAAAATTAACATATTAATATTTTTTAAGATTATTAAAATAATAAAAAATAAATCATACAAATTAAAATATTAAATGAAAATGAAATTGAATAAAATAATTTTACAAATTATTTTAAAAAATAAATAACAAAAATTAATAAACACCAAATATATTGATAAAATATTTGAAAGGTAATAAAATAAAAAATAATTATAATATTATAAATTATTTTAAATAAAATAATTAACAATCACAAGAACGAGAATATAAATATATAAATATATAAATTAATTAAATAATAATAATAAATAAATAAATATTAATTATAAAAACCATAAAAACAAGGACCGAGATTGATATAAAAATCAAATTAAGTTAAATTTTAAGGAGTGAAATTAAAATATATATATATATATATATATATAAAAGTAAAAAGTTTAAAGATTAAATTTGATTTGAACAACAAATAATATGATATTTTTATATTTTTTTATAATTTTTAAAAAATATTTTTTATCTAAAATAAAATAAAAAATATTTTTTAAAAAACTAAATTAAATTTTTATTTGATTAAAAAGTATTTCTCATTAATTATTTTTTAATAATAAATAAATATTAAAAAATTAAAAAATTATTTTTAAAAAATTACTAATAACAATTATTAGTAATTGATTCACTCCTTCAAAAAATGATATTGTTTACAACTTGACTAGTATTTATAAAAATTTTATAATATGGTAATGATTATTTTTAAAATATTTTTTATTTAAAAAATATATTAAGATAAAATTTTTAATTTTTAAAAATTTATTTTTAATACGAAATATAAAACAATTTAAAAATATGTTTTTTTATGATTCGTCATGTTCCCAACAATACCTTACACGGCAAGAATACTATACAGCCTGAACCTCTGGGGACAATCCTGCACTATTAACAGGTTCTTCCTTCCCCGTCTCCTACTGCATTGGAGCTTGCGTCCAGAATCAATGAATTGATCTTCTATCGATTTGTTTTTCTCCTCTCCATGTTCATCATCAGCGAGTCATTTATAAATAAATTTTAAAAAATAAAAAATATATTATTTTAATATATTTTTAAATAAAAAATATCTTAAAATGCAACTTCTAATACTCTCTCCAGCTGTCATGTAAATGACATGATTTTCCACGCGGCAAACTAATAAGACCATTTCCATGCAAGTGTCTAATCTGATACTGTCAAGATCAAATGGTATAAATTTCCACAGACCTATTTTCATAGCCTGGGTTCCTTTTTTCAAAAAAGACTGTGACTAGGCGTGTAAGCACAATATATTTGACCCAACATGGTCACCATCAAAGGAAGAATCAACATTTATTTAGAGTTGAGTTTTATGTTTTTTATTAGCATTTTACAGGTAAATAGAGTTGAGTTTTTTCAAAGAATAGCACCATGGAAAAAAATATATTTTCTAAACTAATACAACTGAAAAAATAGTACTTGAATTAACACAGTTACATAACACACACAAATAAAAATATATAAAAAGGTAAATATTTTTTAAAATAAAAAAATATAATATTCAGGTAATTAGCTCATATAAATTTAATAAACTCTATTAATTTAATAATATAATTAAAAAATAAGATATTAACAAAAGAAACAAATCAATATAAAAAATAAACACTTACTAATATTATAGAAATACATCTTCATGATATTTAAAAAACATCTCAATGTTATCATAGCAAAAATTAAATAGAAATAGTATAATTTTATAGAAAAAATATAAAAATATAAGTATAAAAAAGAAAATAAAAATAAACTATTGTTGACTTTTTACACCATAACTTGGGCTGTAGGATGAAAAACATTATATAAAAAAAAATCATGAGGGTTAAAATTATAAAAGAACAGCATAAAAAATTTAAAATAAAAAATATAATAAAAATAATGAACCTTAAAATTACAATAAAAAAATAAATTAAAAGGCAACAATAAATTTTAAATTTGAGAGTTAAATTGAAAAGAATGAAAACATTAGCAAAAGAAAAAAAATACATTATAAACTTTGATTGAATGATGAAACTAAAAATAAAGAAATTTTTATAAAAAATTCAAGAAAAAATAAAAAAAATCATAAAAATAAACATCAAATCTTAAACGTCAAAACATTAAAAAAATAAATATACATAATTCTTCATCATATTTTTTTACACTAAAAAAACTTCAAAATATAGGTCAAAAAACTTATATACACATTTAATTAAACTATCCAATAATCATGATGTAAAACAATGAAAAAAACTATTAATAATAAACAAAAATAAAATTAAAAAAACCAAGTAAGAAATGAAGATTAAAATATATCACATCATAATAATTTATCTTGTTATATTTAATAAATTTCTCAATTAAAATAAATTTATAATAAAAAAACACATAAAAATTGACATTTACATTAAATTTTTCAAACATAAATTAAAAAATAAAACAATACAAGACTAGCCATGTACAAAATTTTACAAAAAAATAATTATTAAAAAAATAATCTATATAAAATTAACAAAAAAATCATAAAAGAATCATACCAAACTCTCTAAAAATAGTATATTATCCGGAAAATAATGTATTGAAAACCTAAAATTTATTTGAAAAAAATACAAAAATAATGTATTATTTTTTAAAAAATAAAATAAAAAAGCAGGCTGTTTCTTTTAGACCCGGCAGATGATTTACTTTTTCTTCTTTTTGAAAAATAAAAATAAAAATTAATTATGTCATCAGGACTGACGCGTGATAGTTTATGTCATCAGCACTGACCAAGTCTTCAAAAAGAATCAATGAATCTAGCTTAGAGGTGTCTGTATTGATTGGGTAATATACAAGGAACGATGATTCATTTGACTGCATAGTTTATCGAGATGGTTATCCACTTCTTTTACCGGCTTTCATCTTGCCTTTGATGTAGTCAACAGATAAAAGCAAGTGCTTGCTTGTAAGACAACTCTACACCCTTGCTGTTTAGTGAAGCAGCGACGAAAAATATATTAGTGTATAGAAATGTGATGTAAACTATATTTTTTTTATTTTTTATTTAAAATTAATATTTTTTTATATATTTATAAATTATTTTGATATATGGATATTAAATATAATTTAAAAAAATAAAAAATATATTATTTTAATATATTTTTAAATAAAAAATACTTTCAAAAGCAATTACAAGTATACTTTTAAACACCCTTTTATATATTTTGTATTGTGGTAGCTTTTGTGTGGTTGTGGTTTAAAAAAAATTCTTTTATAAAAAATACTTTTGATTAAGGTTGGTTTGGTATTTATGTATTTTTGATTAAAACTATTATTGAAATAAATTGAAAAAAAAATAGTTTAATGTATTTGGTTAATGTGTCTGATATTGTGGTAACTTTTGTGGTTATGGTTTAAAAAAAATTGTTCTATAAAAAATACTTTCAATGAGGCTGGTTTGCTATTTATAAGTATATTTGGTATTGTGATAGCTGCTAATAGTTGTGGTTTGAAAAAAAAATATTTTATAAAAAGTACTTTTAGTTGAGGTTGATTTAAAAAAATAGATGTTTAGTTAAAATTGCGATTGAAATTGAGGTTAAAAAAAAACTAATTTAATGTGCTTAGCTAAGAATGCTTTTGAAATTGAGGTTATAAAATAATTTTAAAAAATATATATATATTAATATTGATAGTTTTTAATTTAAATATTGTAAATTAAACTATTATTATTATATCGTGAAATAAATAATACTTTGTATAAAATATTTTTTATTGTTTCATTAAATTTTTTAAGAGCGCAGAAACATAGGTAAAAATACAATCAGGAATAAAATTGGGATTGCGATCAAATTCTGCAAATATTACATCATCAAGCGATTTCCATTTAATTTATGTAATGTTATTAAATAATGTTTAACATTAATTTTTTAAATAAAATATAATTAAAATAAAAAATATTTTTTTATTTTATTAAATCAAATCTGATTTAATATATTTTTAACTTTGAATTAAACTTACCCGACCAGAAAGCAAAACATATCTCCACTATTTACATAAATAATAAAGTATGCTCCACTTTTTATTGAAAAGAAAAACTCACAAACAGTATAATCATACTTTACTATTCATGAATTTTCTCAAACTTTGAGCCGAAGAAGCAGAAAATTGTTGTTTTTTTTAAACCTGTGGTACAGCCACAGTTAATGGCAGGACACGAGGACTCACTAATAAAAAATTATTTTTAACGTATTACTAAATATTTGTTTTGTCATGGCTGCTTCAAACATAGAAACAACCGCACACAAACATACGGACCCTACCGGGTCCTACATGATCGACGATAAGCAATGGACAAAGCAGATGGGAAGTGCCAGCCAAAGTTCCAAACGTTAGTTGTTCAGGGTAGTTAACCGGCTTGAACAAAATGGAAGGGAAACTAAAACTGTTTTGGCTTCTATTGCCCGCGTATTTTTGTTGGCGGATTCTCCAATCTTAAATCAAACCAGCAAACAAGACTCGTTCGTTGGCGGATTCTCCAATCTTAAATCAAACAAAGAACCAGCAAACAAGACTCGTTTTTTGTTTAGTCCTTCTCTGCCTCTGATAACCCAAAGTTGAACTAGTTTTTAAATCACTCAAGCTTTACACAGAGGAGAAGGAGAGAGACATGGCAGGCATTGCTGGTGCAGCTTGTTCTTCTAATGTACTCTTCGGAAGCAGAGAAGTAGGGAGCGATGGAGCTTCTCTGGCACAGTATAGGGGGCTTAGACCAGTTGAAAACATGCAACTGGCTCCAACTGGGAGTAAGCCAAGTGGGTCCATTTCTACTTCTGGTATGAGTCTATCTGGGCTTCATTTTTTTTTTATTCCCAACCTTGCAATGCACCTGAAATGAAAAATTATGATGCTACTTAGAAATGTTTTGACAGTCTATAGAATGCAGCCAGCAATATAGGACCCGAAAGAAAATGTCAGGACTAAGATTGTTCTCATGCCTCTGCCAAGAGTTGGGAAAGAAAACCCCAATTATAACAATGTTTTGACGCATGATTATAATTGGAAATTATGTTTGTGATTATTAATTTTCTTGGTCATAGGTCCATCTTCCTGGTAATTTTTCTACCCTAAGTTGGTAGATGAACTCGTATGCCGAGTATTGTTCAAAATGATTTTTAATTTTTTCACTTTGACCTTTATCAGATTTAACTCATACTGATTTACCATGTTCAGCTTCAAAATCAAGAACAATTAGAGCCATGGTATCTCAAACTGTTTCAGCTCCCAAGCGTGAAAAAGATCCCAAAAAACGAGTTGTCATTACAGGAATGGGACTAGTCTCAGTTTTTGGTAGTGGCATCGATACATTCTATGACAAGCTGCTAGAAGGAGAGAGTGGGATCAGCCTAATTGATAGGTTTGACGCTTCGAGTTTCTCTGTTCGTTTCGCTGGTCAGATTCGTGATTTTTCTTCCAAAGGATACATTGATGGTAAAAATGATCGCCGTCTTGATGATTGCTGGAGGTACTGTCTGGTTGCTGGCAAGAGGGCCCTGGAAGATGCCAACCTTGGCTCCGAAGTTCTTGAAAATGTGTGTCATATTCTTTTGTTTGCTAAATGTGGTTCACCTATTTTAGATTCAGGGTGATATTTTTTATATAGAAATAAATTAAAATAATATTTTTTTTATTTTTTAAAAATTATTTTCGATATTAATATATTAAAATGATATAAAAATATTTTTTAACAAAAAAAAAAACAAATCAAAATTTAAAAGAACCCTAATATGTGAATATGAAGTCTTTGAACATGTACGCCTTTCAGATGGACAGAACAAGAATTGGAGTGCTGGTGGGAACAGGCATGGGAGGCTTAACCGCTTTTAGTAATGGAGTTGAATCTCTTGTCCAGAAGGGATATAAGAAAATGTCTCCATTCTTCATTCCCTATTCCATCACCAACATGGGTTCAGCATTGTTAGCTAGAGATACGGGATTGATGGGCCCTAATTACTCCATCTCAACTGCTTGTGCGACTGCAAATTACTGCTTCTACTCGGCTGCTAATCACATTAGAAGAGGTGAAGCAGATATCATGGTAGCTGGGGGAACAGAGGCTTCAGTCATTCCTGCTGGTGTTGGTGGTTTTATAGCTTGCAGAGCACTGTCTCAAAGAAATGAAGACCCTAAGAAGGCTCCAAGGCCTTGGGACAAGGATCGTGATGGTTTTGTCATGGGTGAAGGTTCTGGAGTGCTGGTAAATCTGTACAACTACATAATCCATTGTATTTGAGTACCTATTAATTCACTTGGCTTGTATACATATCAATAGCATTTCATCATTCAGAATTTTATCGGAAGTATTTTTCTTCTATGGTAATAGATAATGGAGAGCTTAGAGCATGCAATGAAAAGAGGAGCTAATATAATAGCAGAATATTTAGGAGGTGCCGTGACTTGTGATGCTCATCACATGACAGATCCCCGTTCAGATGGCCTCGGAGTCTCAACTTGCATAGTCAAAAGTTTGGAAGATGCCGGAGTTTCCCCTGAGGAGGTAGGAGTAAATTTCTTGACTGGAAGGAAACCTGAAGTACACTTTTCTTGAGATAAATTATCTTCCCCACTGTTCTGGATCCGATTATGAAGCTGGCCTGATTTCTGATTTACAGGTGAACTATGTTAATGCCCATGCAACATCAACACTAGCGGGGGATTTGGCTGAGGTTAATGCAATCAAGAAAGTCTTTAAGAACACTTCTGAGATCAAGATGAATGGGACTAAGGTAAGATACTGTGCAGCTAGATTTTGCAATATCCCAGCGAATACGGATTGGATTTTACAGAAACGAAAAGGTCTCATTGATCAAATAGGAACAAGTAGGAGAATATCCTACTACAAAAACAAGAACCAGAATTTGGTCACAAAGCAAACTAGGAAAAATTCCACTGTCTACAAATAGCAGCTTACTAGATTCAAGATAGCCTCCTCCAGCAGCTTTGTTTTGTACAATCTACAGAAGACAACCTGACCAATCCATTTTACAGTGATCATGCTGGATAACATCATTAATGTTAGCTAACTTGGTCTTTTCTTGTCTTAGTCAATGATTGGACATGGTCTTGGTGCTGCTGGTGCGTTAGAAGCCATAGCAACTATAAAAGCAATCAACACTGGATGGCTTCACCCAACTATCAATCAAGATGTATGTACCGTCATCCTAATTTCTCTTAGTCGTGTCCTGCTCCACATTAGTTTACTCCAATGTTCCCTAATGCTTTCATGTTCTGTATTGCTCAACCCTGCAGAATATTGAGCATGATGTTACAATTGATACTGTTCCCAATGTGAAGAAGCAACATGAAGTTAATGTTGGTATGCATTCTGTTCTTCTCTCTCCATGTACACATGATAGATGTCGAACCAGCAATGAAAAGGAAAAATGTCATACAACATATGTATTCATATGGACGATATATTTTACTAATGTAATGCATATGTTGTCCTATCAAAAAAAAAAAATGTAATATGCATAAATTGCAGGGTGATGCAGTTAATTTTTTATTCCTTCGTTTCACTGCAGGTATCTCAAATTCATTTGGCTTTGGAGGACACAATTCTGTTGTCGTTTTCGCTCCCTTCACAGTCTAATTGAATAAAACTCAAGCCAAGCAGTTTTTCTCTCCCACCCTTGGGAAATTTGTAAGTTTTCAGTCTTGAAATTGCCTATATGGATATTGGGAACATCTCTGATTTTTTCAATGATGAGTACTGAATATAAAGTAGCCTTTTTTGTCATTCCATTTGCTCTAATAACTGTATCATGAGAAGAGATTCTGAGTTTTGGAAGTCAATAACAAAACATTCTTGTTGTCTTCACTACTGTGGCTTTTTTTAAGTCAATAATAAAACATTCTTGTTGTCTTCATTACTGTGGCTTTTTTTTCAATAAAAAATAATATAAATTATATATTAAAATTTTATTTAATAATTTAAAATTTTGAATTGAGATGGTATTCTATGATATCAAAGTTTTAATGATCAAGTAATTACGAGTTCAAGTCTCATTATCTCTATTTATATGATAAAAATCAAGCACAATATAGTATAAATTTATGCAAATTTTAAATCTAAAGTGCTCGCTTAAGAGTTTATATTAGAGAATAATATAAATTATATATTGAAATCTCACCTAATAACTTAAATTATTGGGTTGAGATGATTTTTTTAATATATTATCAGAGTTTTAATGACCAAACAGTCACGAGTTTAAATCTTACTATTCCTATTTATTTGATAAAAATTAAGTACAGAGTAATATGAATCTGTAAAAATTTTAAATTCAAAAAAATTTTACTTGAAAAAATAATATAAATTATATTTTATAATTTTATCTAATAACTTAAAATTTTTAATTAAAATGATTTTTAAATTACATTTTTAGATTAAAATAATTATGACAATGCCATGTCCATCTGGCCAGGCTGCGTGTTGATCAGACAATGAAAATTTCATGCTTAGTTGTTATTTTTCATGGCAATGCCATGTCTATCCGGCCAAGCTACATGCTGGTCAAGTTATGAGTATTTCAAGCAAGTTGTTCTTTCATACAGTAATGTCATGTCCATCGAGCTAAAATACACACTAGATAGCCCATCAGCGTTGCTCTTTCTGATGGAAATTAACGTCATGTCCATTAGGCCAAGCCACACGTTGGCTAGGCCATGAGCATTTCATACTTTGGTGGTTATTTTTTATGGCAACGCCATATCCATCTGGGCCAAGCTGCGTGTTAGCCAGGCCGATGGGTATATATTTCATGCTATTTTGTTCTTTTTTATGGAAATGTCATGTCCATAGACCAAGCAAGTTACGAGCTAGCCAGGTTGTGAGCTCTTTACGCTCTTTCTGATGGAAACATCATGCCCATCAGACCAAGCTGCGTGCTAGCCAAACCATAACCATTTCATGCTCAGGGTTTGGGTGCTTTTTGACAAGAATGCGTGAACAGCCTTTTTGGCAAGGCTGTCCATGTAAGATGCGGCTTGTATAAGCTCATTTTGTCTATAAAATCTTTGAAGTAATTTAATTAATTATGTACTATTTCATATTATTTTTACCTAATTTGACGTGGGAAATTCAAGCTCTACAACAAATGCATTAAACTGACAATAGGCTTCGCCCAACATGAGGTTTGGGTCATACAAAAATGGACACACGGTATTCTAGCAAGGCCAGTGTTCATCATTTCTTTTAGCCTTTGCTTTGCTAGCAAGTTGAAGCAATTTAGTCTATAAAAAAACTCATTTCTCGTTTTTGGCTTGCTCAAATACTACCGTCCAAATTTGGATAGGATTACAAAATTCTAGAGTTTAAGGATCATTCTTTCTGATTTTAAATTTAAAAAATATAGTTTAATTGGCTAGATTTTAAATTTATTTCTTAAATATTAACAGTTTAAATCTATAAATTTTAAAGTTAAATTTTATATAATAATTAATTTTAAAAAATATAAAATTAATTAAGATTTGCAGGTATAAATATTTATATTAATAATAATTAAAAAAAATCACTAGAAAAGGCTCGAAGCTTCATTTACAAGGACTTTGCCCATCCACTTATCTACCACCTGCATGTCACATGACTTGCGTCTTGCTAGCATAGATTGCACCTCCGCTCGCTACTTGCACCCATTATACTTGGTTAGTGTGCCATTGCATTTGCAAATCAAAATAATTGCTTATTTTATTTTGATTGTCATTCATTTATTCTCAACAACCCCCATAATATATATATATATATATGCGCTTTAATATTATAGAATTTCAAGTTCTTCATTAGTTAAGAGTGGTTAGTTGCCCACGCGCACTATCATTTAACTTTTTGAAAATATTATTAAACCCAGCTTATTTCAGCAAATCAACATTGTGAAGCGTCCATTGGGTTTTGTCCTGGAATAGGTTTACAAGTAAATTAAATGGGTGTTAACATTGTATGAACTCATTTACCTGATTGGTGTATTCCTAACTTGATTGGTGTAGTTAAAATTTAGTTTAATTTTCAAAAATAATATTAATTTAATATTTTTTTATAAAAAATATTTAAATAATAATATTTTAAATTAATATAGATCAAATCAGATTAAATAGTTTAACTTGTAAACAAGGTTATAATCCTAATTAGATTTTATAACTTTACTTCTTAGGATCTACTAGATTTATAGCTAGTGAATTTTTTAAATTTTTTACATAAAAAATATAAAGAAATTTTTTTTTTGACTTGAGTCATTAATTAAATTGGTAATTTATATTACATGATAAAATATAATAAAAATAAATAAATTAACAACAAAAAAAGATTAAAAAAATTCCATTTGGTTTTTGATTTCAAGATTATGAAATCAAACCAAACCGAATATTTTTTAAAATATTCTAGTTGGTTTAGTCAATTTTTTTCTTGATTTAGTTTCTTCAGTTATTTTTTTGATTTAATTAGTTTGTTGGTTTTTTTACTCAACTTTATATATAAGAATAAGATAATCTTATATAAAAAAATATATAAATAATTTTTAATAAATCAAATAAAAATACGATAACACTATAAAAATTAAAATAAAAAAAATGTAAAGAAATTTGGCCCATATGACCATCCCAAAACAAAAAAAAGAAGATTAATATGCATAGAATTGCGTGGTCAACCTACACACTTGGCTTTTCTTCTTCTTCTTTTTTATGTTGAAGAACTAACAATATATCATTTATTGCTCAAGATTCTAGCAATCAGATAGAAATAGAAAGTCAGGTCATGCTTTTAGACTCGAAAAGATATTTTCAAACACCTAATAAATACTCTAAAATGTTTAATAAGTTAATTTACAACCCTAACATATCCTTAAATTAATCAAAAAATACAAGATTAAATCAAATAAAAAATTCTTATGTAACCTTGATTTATTTTTTCCAACTAAATGAATAATTAAAAAAAACACCTTAATTAAACTCTTTTTATCAAGAGCAATCCAATGAAACCAAAATTAGTTTTTTTTTATGATTAGAATATTATCAACCATTCACTTTCTTTTTCTTTTTTTATTTTTAAGTGATTTTTTCTTTCATCTTAAATTTTAAGAATAGAAATATAATAAAAAAATATCAAACTTTATATAAATCATGTGAACATAATATAAAATGGTAAAATAAAATGTCTAGAATCCTTAAAAAGGGTGTTGAGATGTTATTACTGTTATTTTTTAACATGTTTTTTACTTAAAAATATATTAAAAATATTTTTAATATTAACACATCAAAATAATTTAAAAATATTAATTTAAAATAAAAAACAAGAGCAAATAACTGATAGAGGGTACAAAGATAGAGGGTTAAAAAAAAAAGAGGACGAATCAAGCTTGATGGTGCGTAAACTGAAAAAAATAAACAGAAAAAACCAATGTGTGGAACGAATCTCTATGTACGGCTGCGGTGTAGCAAGCCAGCATCGTGCACTCTCGACTTCTTTATTGTGTCGTCAAATTGGAGCTGTCACCCTAACAAAAAGTTCAGGAAGCAATTGGAGAATTAACTTAGAGAGAGAGAGAGAGAGAGAGAGAGAGAGAGAGAGAGAGATACCTGGCATTATAGCAGAGCAAACAGTGGCATGACAATCTTTGTTGAATTCTTTGCATCTTTCCTTTAACAAGGATTTGTCAAAGAATCAATGTAAAGAAAAAGCTCTGGCTGGGGATAAATAGAACCTCTCTGAATTTAAACATCCTAATCTTTATAGCATATTCATTAAAACTAGCCTGAGGTTGTGATCCGGTCAAGGGATTCTGTCGGTTAATCCAGGTCAATATTAAAAATATAAAAAAATTATATAAATATAAAATATAAAATATAAAAATATAAAATGTATTATAATTATTCTTCAACAAAAAGTTAAAAACAATTCATATAAACTTAGCTTTATATTATCATACATGAAAAAACTAAAAAACAAAACATGCAGGTATATGCTATAAAAAACTATAAATGAAGTATAATTATTTCATATCAAATAATTAAAAAATAATTTATGTGAATGTAAATTATAAAAAAATTTAATACTAAATATTCATAGATTTGTTTTTATTTTTAAAAAAAATATTAAAAAAAATCAAGCCTTACTCAAATTATATCTATATTTGTTTTTATTTTTAAAAAAATATTTTAAAAAATCAAGCCTTACTCAAATTATATCAAATTACCCGAGTTTTAAATTTACCTGAAATATTGTCCGAATTTGACCAGATTAATTGCAATCCTGGATTCTTATAATTTGAAATCCGACTAAAATCCAGAGCCATCTATGTTCTAAATTAACCCGTGGGACACGACCAGGTGCCATAAATATGCTTTGAAGCACGCATTAAAGTTAGGATTGTTCCCACTTGCGTGGTGCTAAGTTACTGTTTAGCTAGTGTATTAAAGGAAGCACATGGGTAGCTTGATGTCGACAATTAGGTATCTTGATCTCTCCATTTAGTTAATGCTATGCTAATAGATTAGGCCATCAATGACCGAACAACTCTTGGAATCCCACTATCACTCTTGAAAAGCCAACGTTGTTGATTAGCCCTAATCAGCATCATGAGCTTTTTAAACTTCCAAAGTATCATTCTTTTGTTAGTTGTGGTAATATTCCTCTCAGAGAATCTTCAAGCTCTCAAGTTTTATTCGTCATTGTAGCATGCGTTCACAGCTAGCATTCTCCTCGTAGCTTTTCTTGAAGGGTGCAACTTGCATTTATATATTTTTTTCCTCGTTTCTTACTTTCCTCTATCCCCTTCCTTTCCACTTCAAGTGAACAGAAATTTAAGCAGACTGCCTACGTTCAGT